CTACAACTTGACCCCTCGTGTATGTGGCCACGGGAGAGTTTCCCCAGTTGGTAGAGGGCTGGTTGTAGTCGACACTGACGCGGGCATTGTAGCCGCAAGGTCCGCTACGGCCTACGGTTGCGGCGGTGAGGTCTGGCCAAGCAGACACGGGCTCGCGGATGGTGCATTCAGGACAGGTATCTATGCCAGCCTTTGGCAGTTAGTTTCAGATGATAGTATGCTTAGACTAGTTGCGGGCTATACCTCGTGGCCGAGACGGGTGCGACTGGAAGGGATTGTCAGGTATCCATGGCCATAGACGGAGCCAAGGAGGCTGGAGACAGCCAGAGTTGTCCAGAACTTCATCTTAGCAAAGTCCAGGTAAAGACTGATATAATTGAGGGCACGAAGACGAGGTGCAAATCAAGAGATCGGGCGTCTGATGGACGTCTGCAGTCGGAAGGCCATCTCATGAGTATGAGGCAATAACGTTGAATTTATACTCAATTTCTCCGCAGACCCTCGTGCCATCGTGAACCATCACCACCACACGATGCCACTCTGCGAGTCCAAGTCGAGGTGCTCCCACCGGCCATCATCACAAGCAGCGCCGAAGTACCTCCAACCGAGACGGGCCTACCCGCACGTGTTTCCCCGGATCTAAACTCGGAGTGGAAGTCCGGGGGCATCCCCAAATGACATGCAGGTGATGGCGGGGTAGAGAGTTCTCTTAGTGCCGGCTGTCATATCTCCAACCGGAAACCAGCGCGGGGTGAAAAGGGCCGTTGTGTGGCCGCATTACCCCTCCAAGATCGAGTTGGCCGAGACCTTGAAGGCCCTTGACGTCGCTTCCTGCCAAGTTGTGCTCCTGTCAAACTCCTGCAGGAATGACACCCGACACATGCTTGAGGCGGAGTTCGGCGGAGTCGAGGTGGCATCCCGCCCTGCCGATCAGATGACTTGTCGAGCTGGGTGGCTGCTCGACTTCACGACAACCTCACTATTGAAGAGAAGGCCCGAAGATGGTCGATTCATCACACTTGAGAGGTGGAAGTTTCGATGGTTCGGGCTGAGGGGCGGTGATAGCTTCGCGAAGCTGCCGAGGAATGTCCGCTTTCTGACGCCATTGACGAAGTTCTAGGTGGCTACCATGACTATCACATGATCCGATCTTCGTGGAATCATTTCTATGGTTCAGAAATTCCTCCAAGAATGGACATCGGCAGTATTCAGGCGAAAATGTAGCTCCGCTGGAAGGTTGCTGATGGACAGACGCGTGCTTCGTACAACAACAGGGCAAACACCAAGGTGGTATCGTCAACCTGATCGGCATTCGTTGCTTCGTGGCGCTCTATGTCGGCAGAGCTCAGAGTAGGGAGAACAGTTTTATGAGCAATTGATGACGATTATCTGATCAATCATGTGAAGGTGTCGGGAAGTGGGAAGCAGTCGCCTTTATCCCGCCGGCCAGTTTTTTTCAAAATCTGATTGCATAACGCAACCCATGTCCAGTCATCTCAGGGTGAACCACCGGAAACCTGCAGTCAATCTTGACTCTAAACCTAACGAAGAGGCTTTCTACTGGGGCTCATTCTCTCCACAGTTCATCTGATAGCAAAAGGCAGTGAGGGAACACCAATCGGTTTGGCCCCGTCCATGCTTTTGCGGAGTCCAGACTGCGCCAACAGCTAGACCAATCCTTATTTCTGACAACATAGCGTGTGCCGTCGAGAATATCGCTCGCTGCCTTTCCAAACTGCCGCGAAGCCAGCAAGGAAATGGACAACAAATTTTCAGGTAGACAGGGGTCGCATAGTGCTGTTGCGGGAACCCCGACGTCTTTACCGCGAGCCTTATGGGGCTTAAATTGCTGCTACGAGTCAGTTTACCGCAACAACAGCCAACGATCGGGAGAGCCGACCACTTTAAGCATCGCCGCAGGGACATTAATAGCATCTCTTAAATGAAGGACGTTATGGAACCGCCAAGCCACACTGACCCGGCATATGTAGAATTGTTTTTGATGAAGTCGTGAGTCTCCTGTATTTAACAAGTTGGGATGTCCTGTATTTGAGCAAACCTACTACAACCTCAGTCAACATACATACCAATACTTAAAAGTCAATCGCTACCTAATACACACTCGTTCAAGAACGAAGCCCCCAAGTCGCGGACATAATCAGCACATCGGCCCCCAACCAACAGTTCCACCACATTACCAAACCAACCTCAACCCACCGATCTCGAGCACGGTTCACAATGCCTGCCATCTACAGCGAACCCCTGCGTCACCTCCTCTCCGCCCGCGATGGCGACGACGACGGCGATGGAGGTCTCCACATGCCCGGCACGGTGATGGCCATCATCATCGTCTGCGTTCTGGTCTTCGTCGGCGTCCTCGGTCTCTGCTGTTGCTGCTGCTGCCGACGGAAGCGTAAAGGAGGCTCCGGCAGTGGCAAGGACGATGGCAGCGGCAACGGCAGCAACAACAACGGCGGCTTCGACCCGACGAAGTGGATCAAGAAAGCCGTGAAGAAGACCACAAAGAAGATCAAGAAGATGTTCATGAAGAAGAACAAGAACAAGAAGGAGAAGGACGCCACTGCCAACGAGTCGGTTCCGTACGGTCAGGGCACGCACCCCGGTTTCGGAGACAATGAGAGAGGATACAACAGACTTGATGCGCAGGCGGAGGAGGAGACCGTGGGAATGACGTCGCCTTACGGTCAGAGGAATTGATGGGAGTGTTAGGGCATGTATGTGATGACGTATGAGTACCTTAGAGGAATGGCCATGGAATTAATAAGTAACAGCGATATGAATTATTGAACTACTTCCTGAATCTCTGTGCTACTGAAATACTCGATCTGTGTGCTTGCTGAAGAGGTTATTCTGCGTTACAATTCACACGCGACAATGCTCTGTAGACTTTACTTCTTGTTGCCGCCGCCGCCGCCGCCGGTGTTACCTCCAGTGTTGCCGCTGTTTCCACCACTACTGCTTCCTCCCTTGTCGTTGCCATGGCCGCCATGGCTCAGAGATCCCCTTCCACCCTTGGGATCTTGCCAAGGAGGGTTAGTAGGGCGGGAGTAGTAAATAGGGGTTCTGCCTCCAGAAGACATACTTGTGGATCTATGAATTGTTTTTTAAAAGGGAACCGTGAGGTTGAAGTGGTAGTTCTTGTGAACGTGCACGGCAATCGTGTTCCTCTCAACTCGCGGCATTATAACCAAGCTCCAGTTCGAAGACATTGTGATGAATATCCAGCCCCGAGCCTGAGTTCCATCACTGTGAACAGAGGTGCATGTTGTAGACGGTCACCAAGAATGGATATGGCAATCGCCATAGTACTTGACTTCACCAGTCATCGGGATGTCCTCAAGTTCCTGTATTGTCAACTCACTTGGGTTTGGAAGAGCATATGTGCTCTAGATACGTCTCTGTCACGGTATCATTCCAATCACCGCAAAGAGTTTTACAGTACACTGGTGCTAAATGGCAGATTTTCTTAGAGAAAATGGTGTCTGAATTATGTTGATGTTACCACCGTGCTTTTACATGAGGTATGTTGGAACCCAAATTTGGCCTTGCTAGACGCAAACCCCTAAATGCTATTCCCTGCCCAATAACCATTTCATTCCCTTCATTGTGTTTGACGCTAATTCCGCGGGAACCTCCTTGGGCGCAAAGATAGTCCAGCCTTGGTGGCCCCAGTCCAGGTAGTTGTCCATCCTTACTTCAACCCCGTTATCCTGCAAAACCTTGGCATAAATCAACCCATCATCTCTCAAAGGATCTCTGTCGCCGACATGGATATATGCCTTGGGAGACTTCGGAATCGCCTCAGGGTCGTTGATGGGCGAGTACCATTTCGATTTGACATCCGCATCATACGCATGCTTTACGGATTCAATAACTTCCGTTGTAAACGTCGCACTCCACGTTGCGTTGTCTTCTCGAGAAGTCCATTCTGAAGCGTACTTCTCGGGGACGATATCTTTGCTGAAAATGAGCGGGATACCCAGCATCACACCGGTGATACCAAGACCTTCAACGCCGGATCTCTGTGCGACGACTGCAGAGATGTTTCCTCCTGCAGACCAGCCACCGATCACGAAACCCTTGGTGATGTCTGCGCCGTAGCGGCTGGCGTTCTTGGCAAGCCATTTGGCAGTCTCCCAGCCGTCCATGACGGCTTGAGGAAACTTGTGCTCGGGCGCCAAGCGGTAAGTTGCGTTGACGACAACAGCGTCAAATTCCAGGGCGAATTCGCGAGCAGGCCGGGTTGTTGGCTCGACGCCCGCAACGATGAAGCCACCGCCGGGCCACAGGAGAATTAGTGGCTTTCCGCCGTTGGCTTCGTTTACACCGCGACGGCGCACGACTTGGAGGTCGATCTTGTAGCCATCAGGAAGAGTAGCCACGTCGCGGAACTCTTCGAGCGAAGGATCCAGGGGAGGGAGGGCCGCAAGAAGAGTTTGTATTAGTTGAGGGCGGGTTTCGCGAGATTTGATAAACGTTTCCATTTTTGAAGGCTGCGTGTGGAACTTCTAGTGATCGGTTGGTTTTGAGAAAACAATTTGGCGGATGAAAATTGAGAAGTTGGGTAAGTTGAGAGAAAGTTCCCTTTGCGATCCACGCTTTCAAGTCGCACCACTCAACTCCCCCGCAATCACGACTTGGTGGGTCCGGAAATGTTCGGGGACAGCCTGCGGGGTGCTCTTTTGGCGGCAATTGTCCGAAACGGGGTCGGAACGAGTCCTTCAATGGTCAAGGTTGAAGATGCCGACCCGCCTCCAGTTAAGTTTGCTCCGAAAACAACGCCCAGTCAGGCGTGAAGGAGGCAGTTGCGGCTTGATTACGGCACCGGAAGGCGGTACAAGGCGAGCAAAAGGGACCGGGAGGAAGCTTTTACTCCAGTCTACTAGCTGGGTCCGTGGGTTTCTTAAAAGTTCTCGTCAGTTTCAACACCTCTATTTGGGCTCCAAGGAAGCATACCTTGAGACAACACCAGTCAAGACCTAGCCGCCCATCACGACGCACGGCAGTCCGATATTCTTATCAGGTTGTCTCGATAGACGTATGCTGCATCTCAAACAACTGAAAAGTTGAAGCACACCACAACATTGGTCACAGCTTCCTCGTCCAACCAGCGATGGTCCCAACGGCAGCATCTTGCTCAGTGCCCCGCATGTCAGGAGTTGCTCGAGCTTGTTACCTGTTAGCGCAAATACCAACACTTCTGCCTTGATGTCTTGATGGACTATTCGTGCGACGTGGAAACCATCGACCGCGACCTCCATATCGTCTTGAATGTCGTAAACTGCATCTTTCGCATGGAAGCATGATGGAACAGCCCACAAAGACAGGAAAACACTAATGCTTTCCACGAAGCTCGCTCCAATTGATGTTCTCGGCAACATATCGTTCAACGTTGCCAGCTGAAGCAAGATGGACGATTCGTTGACGGATACGTCCATGATCAGATTTGTCAAAGAGGGCCGATGATGGGGCTGAAGAAGTGAGCCTCCAACAAGTAAGGACGGATCCGAGAGCCTCTCCGGAACATTTCTTGAGGCGAACTCAGGGAGGGGTTCTGCTGGCTCAATTATGATGTTGCGAAACGCACCTCCCACCGAAGCGAGCCCGCCGGAGATTTGGATCATTCGTCCAAGTTCATCGAAAGCATCGTTCTGCATGATGCATGAGTAGTAGATCGTGTGAGCGCCGCCTGACAACCCAACGATGTGACGTTTTCTACCAGCCACTAAATGGAGTTCATCCGTTTTCAGCCAGGTGTCAGAGTAGTTAAAGCAGATTAAGCGGCCGAGATGATCAAAAAATTCATCATGGGTTGCGCTGTATCCGCTCACAACATTCCGACACCGATGGGGACGGAGAGTGTCTCGTCCGATTGAGAGACAGCTCCAACTCCACGCAGTTATAGTGTCTCCTGACAGAATGTTCCCTTGCACACGTAGCTCAGAGGGGTTGAACCTACAACGTGTTAATGCGACTGCGGTACTTGAAACCCCGTGTATAAGCCTGCCAATACACTCGCAAGGACATTGGCCGAGTCCACAGTCTTCGGCGAAGTCCACGTTACTGTCGGCAATGCTGTCGTAGTGATAACGGCACATGCCCAAAACTCTCTTCAATGAGCCTTCCTTCAGGTATGCGAGACCATGTGTTGCCGGGCCCATGGTTGAGAATCCCTCCACTTTCCGAGGGAGCCCCAAGCGTTTCGTCGTTGGCGATTCAACGCGCATAATGGCAAGGACATCTTCCAAGGCACGTCTATTGTCAAAGTTGCCATTCATTAAGAATCCAGCATGACTATGATCAAATTCTGGTCTTGGAAACAACGTTATTCTCGTTTTATCGAGAAGGTCCATTGAAAGCATTCGGATTGCGTGATGAATTGCCGGGGACAGCTCGGTGTCGAGGTGAGACCATCTGGCGATTTGATACTCTAAGGTCTCTTCAAGGAGATAGTCGATCTTGACCCTTTGATTGTTTTCCTTCCAGTCAGATGCTTCGGGAACGATGTGCAAGGACTGCGGGCTCGAAGACACCGAGAAATGGTTCGCCGTGTGATCGCTCTCCAACTGAAAAATCACATTTCCCTGGCCTCCACCGCAAGCCCAAAGTATTGTATCGCCATGACGCAACTCAACGGACATTCCGAGTATGTGACTCGCAAAAGCTGGAAGCCACGATCCACGTACGTTGAGGATCATGTAATGACTCTGTCCTCTCTCTGCGGTAAAGACCAGTTGTTTGATTGCTTTAGCAAGGTTTTCGGCGCTACCCATTCTCCTAAGTTGTCCAAAAACCTTGTTACGGCGAGATTCTTCCTTTGCTCCTCTCTCGCCAGGTCCGAAACTACGACTGGTCTCGAAGTATCTCGCCGCAGTGCTGTCAATGTGCTGGAGAACTTTTGGGAACCCGAGGTCGTGGACGAACGGTGCCAGATATGCCACAAGTCCTTTGAGGACATCAACGCTGGGTAGCATTTCTGCTCCTAGGCCGTACACGGAGAGAAGTTGGGAAAGGCACTGCGCAGCTTGGAAAGGAGGAGTGCCAGTCGATAGAGACCCGATAACGAGGAGCGCGTTCGTGCCGGCTCGGGTGCGCGTCATCTCGACCACAGGAACCGAATGACCCCAACCGATGCTCAGGGCTTTGGACAGAACTGACTGCATGCCGCAGCGCCGGGATACGTGGGAATGAACCGTGTCCGACAAAGATGATCGAACGGGGACTTTGGCCCCGAGCCAGAAGGCGGCGGCGACGGCATACGTGTCGACTCCGCCGTCGCTTAAAGCTTTCAGCACTCTTCCTGTGAGCATGTGGGAAAGCGATGCGGTGCTCACGACGTCAGCTTGAAAGCCGAAGCCGACCTGGTCCGTCATTTTCGGTCAAAGAGATAAGTAAACTTCTTAGGGGATGGGAAGACGGTGAAGATTGAACTTTGAATAAGGAGAAGACAGAGATATAGTGAGACAATCTCAGCCTGATCAGAGAATTCGGCTGCAGGACTTGACGTGTCACCTAGTGCTGATCGCTAATTGGACGGACCTCTGCAAAACTAACATGCATCGGCGAATCACGGGCAAGACGTGAGATTTTGTCGAGAACTTCCTGGACGTACATGAGGAGATGTGCGTTCATCATGGGACCATCTAGTACCTGCCCTCGACGATAATAAGAACCGTGAACGACGGAAGTAATTTGGGGAATGATGGTGGGGATAACAGACATGAAAGTGTATGTCCATGGAAACTGTCCGACTAGCATAGACAGCGAAGCTCTCAATTCAACGACGCGAGAGCATTGGGATGTTATACTAATTACATTCTTAGCTCCTGAGTGTGAACTCAAAGTGTTTTCCTGCTTCATGTCGACTCTATATTATTGAAATCGAAGCGCCATCTGTAGAGCTCACAATCTGCTTAATAGTGGCCGGATTGTACATCATTTGCGCTGGTAGAAAAGGACAAATCACAACCACCGAATCCCTAGCGCCATCCCCAAAATTGCTAAGCACTACCTCCACGCCCTTCACCACCAAAAACACCAACCAAATACCCCGCCAAACCGCATTCACGATCTCCCTTCACACCCTCACTCTCACCCCTCCACCTCTCCTCCCCCGATCCTCTGACCGCCCAAGAAGATGCCCCGCTCCGAAGAAGCAGAAACGTTCTTCTTCGCCGTCTACTCCGCCGTCCAGGAGATCCCTCACGGCAAAGTGACGACCTACGGGCACATTGCCCGGCTCATCGGAACCCGTGAGTCCTTCCTCTACCTACACCTTTCATCTCACCTCCCCTCGTCACCTAACCAATCCCCTCGAACTTCAAATGCAACAATCTCAAGTCACAAATCACAATCCTAATCGCAACTAATCTCTCTCTCCGCAGCTGAACGTCCCCGCCAAGTCGGCATCTGCCTCAAGCACCTCCCAACAGACCCCTCCGCCCGCTTCAACAACGAAAACGTCCCCTGGCAGCGCGTCATCAACGCCAAAGGCGCAATCTCACCTCGGTACGATCTCATCTCCCATTCATCCCTCGCTTCCCCCCAAAACCTCCCACTTCCTCTCCATCGAATCTTTTCACCCCTCAGTCTAACTAAACCTGCCCATCACAGCTCCCAGCCCACAGGCGCAAGAAGCCAAGCCGACGCCCTCCGCGCCGAAGACGTCGAGGTCACGCAGACGGCCATGGGCGAGTTCGAGGTGGATTTCGACTCGTACGGCTGGTTTCCCGACGTCCTCCCGTCGGAGGAGGGCGAGCAATGAGTCGCGCCTTCCACAAGAGCCTTAGATGAACCATAGCACCGAGAAGCTGCACCAAGATCACCAAATTAGGAACGCAGAGCGAACTTCAAAATTCTTCTTATTCAACCGAGTCCATCCGGTTCGGCGCGCACTAGGATTAACCAAAGGTATAAGATGTATGCTAGGCCCCCAGATCACTCCGTCTCGAGAAAAAGTCTAACGAATGCCACCCAGGTTGTCCTTCCGACTGACAACCCACGACCTCCGTCTCCCGTTCCTTTTTGTCCCTCGTGCCATCATCAGAGCACGTCGTTGGTCTTTGCTATTCGTAGACGACTTATGTAAAATGAAATAATTAAGATGAAACAGAAGAAGTGAAGGTTCAAAACACCTTGTCCATGACGCATGAGCAAAAGACGCGTAGTGGTATTGAGAAAGAGAAAAACGTCAAAAACCCTTGGTAGAACGACGCAAGCGCGAGCCGCCAGTGTGAGAAACTCCTGCCCAGTCTCTGGGTTTCGCCATGCGTAGGGGGAATCATCTTCGGCCAGGATAAACATTTCGCAGATGCAAGAATACAATGTCGCAAAGGGGGTAGTAGTAAGAGCCAGAGAAAAAGAATCAAACAACTCCCCTTCCCGACAAAAGAAACCACTTTTTTTTATGAAGAGAAAGAGTCCAGTCGAGCCCGGTCTCTTCGAGTGGGAAATCCCAGACAACAGGGCTTCGCCTAGAAGCAGTTGAGAGAACCCTTCTTTTTCTTCTTGGACAGAGCGTTCATGCGCTCCTCCAATAGACGTTGCTGGGCCTCGGCAGCCTGTCTCTTCTTGCGCTCCTCCTCCACAGCGTGAAGACTCCAGCGGTTGTCCGGCTGTGGTGTCGGCGCGGGACGGTCCTTGAGCTCCTTGATCTCGGCCTCCAGATCCGTGCAGCGCTTGCGCCAGGCATCGCTGTCTGCCTTGACCTTGTTAGACTGGCGTTCGAGGTCCGTGAGAGCCTCCTCGAGGGTCTGAGTGAGCTGCTTCTCGGCTTGGAGATGCTTCTCGATGGTGCGGATGCGGGCCTCCTGGTCCTCTTGGATTTGGTTGACAGCACCATGGTGGTCTTTGCTGGCGGGGCGGGTTCCTTGTGTAGGAGTGCTCGGCACTGTTCCATTGGGACCGGCGTTGGCACCAGGGAGGGGCGGCAGAGGAATAGCCGGTGGAGGAGAAGGCAGAGAAGCAGCGGATGAGCTCTTGCGCAGAGGCGAGCTCATTGAGTTGGATCGCTGTACGTTGCCAGAGTTGGATACCTCGTCAAGCTTGGCCTGTGTCAAGTTAGATGTGCTGATCGGTGGGGGAGAGTAACAATCACGTACCTGAAGAGCGGCGTACTCGGCCCTAAGAGACTCCAACTCAGACTCGGCCTTGAACTTAGCAGCCTGCGCGTCCTCGATCTGAGCGTTGCGCTCGGTCTGCAGCGTGGACAGACGGTTGTTGGTCATCTGAACCTGATCGAAGTTGCTCTGAAGCTGATCCTCAAGTTCCTCCACGAGACGGGAGTTCTTCTTGTTCCTGTGTTCCAGGTCTCCGATCTTCTTACGGATAGCAGACAGCTGGTCAGGAAGAGGAGCGGGGCTTCTGATAGGCTCGCCCTCTGCGGTGAGCAAGTCAGTGAGGGTCGACTTGGCCTGCTCCAACTCCTTGAGGATGTTGTCATTGATGGTCGACAGCTCAGTGACGTGCTTCTGAATCTCGCCCGACTTCTTCTGCTCCTCGGTCAAGGCCTTCTGGTCGGCGATGAGATCATCAATGCGCTCAGTGATCTTCTCGATGCTGACGTCGAGACCAAGAGCGAATGCGACCTGGGTAGCAACCTTCATAAGATCTTCCCGGGCGTCGTTGAGCTCACACTCGAGGAGTCTGACGTTCTCGGCGTGCTCATTCAGGAGAACAGCGACCTGTTCTTCGTAACCCTTCTGCTCTGACTGCTTCATCTCCTCCAGCTCCTTGGCGTGGTTCTCTTGCAGCAGCTTCATACCGTCTTGGTGGGTCTTGAGAGCCTGCTCGTGGGCAGCAATCTGGTTCTCCAGGTTTGAAATCAAGCTCTGCTGAGTCTTGGCTTGCGTCTCGTGCAGGTCACGGGCCTTAATAGCCTCCTCCAACTCCGCCTTGGTAGCTTCGTGGACGGCTTCGAGCTCGGAGACCTTGCTGGCGTTGGCATCAATAGCCGCCTTGTACTCGTTGATCTCATCGCGGAGGTTCTTAACCAGCGTCTCGTGCTTCTCCTCAATCTCCTTGACCTCTTCGTCACTTCGTGTAGCAGACTGCTCGGCAGTTCTGGTGTTGAGAGAAGTGATCTCAGCCTCAAGCTCCTCGATTGTCTTCTTCATCTTGGCCTCCGTTTCTTGCATGGTATCGAGAGCGGTCTGGTGCTTCGTCTGCCAGCTGGCCAGTTCGGTCTGGAGTTCAGTAATCTTCTTGTCGTTCTCCTCGGTCGTTGGCACTGCTCTGGTTTGAACGTCGGAGATATCTGTGGATGCCTCAGGAACAGCAGCAACGGCAGCGGCCGTGGCAGCGGCAAGCGCAGCCTCGTTAGCTTGAGGTGACGACTCGGTGTCATCTGCAGGAGTCTCCTTCACGGCAGTTCGCAGGCTCTCGAGCTCGGCCATCAGCTTCTTTTCGCTGGCCTCGTGAGTCTCCCTCATATCCCTCATCTGCTTCTCATTTGCCTCCAACTGGTTCTTGAGGTTGGAAACGACAGACATGTCCATGGGAGAAGCCTTCAAACTGGAGCGCTCACGGGTGAGGCCAGAGATGATAGTCATCTTCGTCTCGATCTCCTTCTTGGTGGATGCAATGTCTGCCTCGAGTTCCTGGATTCTCTCAGAACGAGCGTGGAGTTCGTGCATGGCGGCGTTGAGGTTCAGCTCAAAGTTCTGCATGACATCGGGCTGCTCTTCGAAGTTCTCCGCGGCGATGTTACGGAGCGAAGCGAACGATCGGTGAGCGCGATCGATAATCATGACATTCTGGCTGGATTTGCGGCGGATGACAGGTTGTCCGCTTCGCGGCGAGGTAACTTCCAAGGCCTTGGCTTGGGCAACCTCCGTCTTGAGCTCCTCGAGCATGTCCAGAGCCTCGTGGTGCTTCTGTTCAAGTTGAGTGTACTTGTCAGCCAGCTCCTTTTCGGCCTCCTCCTTCTCGGCTGCCAACATCTTGAACCTCTCAACCTCCGTTGCGAGGAGGTCCTGGTGCATAAGATCCTCGGTCGAAAGATGCTCGGGATCAGACTCTCCCTCGGGCTTAGCTGTGGCAGTCTCCGCATCAGAGGGATCGGCATTGGCAGGCGACTCCATGGCGGAGGACAACTCGGAAGACAAGGACCGAGACAAAAACTGGCCATTCTCTTTCAAATCGCTCGACCTTGCGTCGGAGAAGAAGGAAGGCGGTCTGGTGAGGTTGGGAGAAGTGACAGACATCATCGAGTCTCTGACCTTGCGTTCAGGGTGTCGTGACTCATCGATGGTGTCCTGAAGATCTGCGAGGGTGCGCAACGCTTCCTCGTACTTGGCGTTCAACAAGTCAAACTCGTTGATGGTCGTCTCATGCTCAACGCGTAGGTCGAGGAGCTCCTGGGTGACGTTTTCCA